AAAGGATTATTGGAAGGAATCAATGATTGGACTGGAAGTAGCTTCTATTGTAATCACTGACCACATGAAATGATTACCCACACGTTACCACATCAAAATTCCTGTTCTTGTAAGACAAACCAAGGAGGTAGATTACTTCTAAATAATCAAACTTACTTTTGGTCTTTACAGTGTACTATAACATTATAGTTGTTACTAAAATTTCCAGAGCTCTATGTTTTTAATTTGGATCGACTCTACAGTTTGAAATTTTAATGTCTGGAATTAGCCTGCCTGGATTAAAATGGCTTCACCAGTGTGTTGCTGTGTGACCTCGGGGGGTGATTTAATCTGTGTCTTTGTTTTCTGCTCTGTAAAATGGAATTAATAATGGCAAAAAAGAAAAAAACACACATAGCCTAATGATAAACTAGTTAGAATGATAAATTACGGTCATTTTAGGGCCTTTACACCACTCTAGCCTTTAGTTTTTCTGATTTTACTTGTATTTAATCGTATTAAAAATTACATTGATCCCTAGGATTAAACTCTAGTGAGTTTCTGTTGGTGAAGCGTTGGTGAGGTTTGTGGGAAGATACTGAGGAGAACTTTAAAAAAGGTTTATTTTTTATTTTATGTGTGTATGTGTCTAAGTGTATGTACGCGCACAACCTCAGAGAACAGAAGAGGTCTCAGATCTTGTGGTATTGGAGTTACAGATGGCTGTGAGCTGCCTGATGGGGGTGCTGGGAACTGAATTGGGGTCCTCTGCAAGAGCAGTGAGTGCTCTTAACCACTGAGCCATGTCACCAGTCCCTAATGAGGATTTGACCTGGACTGGGAAGTATGTGAGGTGACCATGTGAGCTGGCTGATGACTGTTGATTTCTGAAGGACTCCTATGGGCTTTGCACATTGTAAGAAGTATTTTATATTTATGAATTTCTTTCCTGATATGTAATTGCCTTATGGTTTGTTCTTCACTGATGGAGATAATCAGAATTAAAAAATATTGAAACACAGACTATGTAAAAAGTTATTGTATCGTTTGTTAGTCCCATTAAAATACAAAACATTCAGTTTACTCAGCCGTTTGTATTGAGTCCAATCCTACTTCTTTAGACAACTTCTCCCCACGGCTGGCAGGGCTCTGACCCAGTGGAGGCACTGATGAAGCCTAGAACTGTAAACAGGACATAGTTGGGCATAATGTAGCCAGGTCTAAGGCAGGTAGGAGGCTGACCCTTTGGTTCCTATGTGGTGACTTCTCTTGTGGGAACCACGTCCATCCTTATATTACCAGGTTCACAATACCCTATGGCATAGCGATGTATATTTGATATGGATAACACATAATCACAGTTTTGAAGCATCACATTTTAGTATTTGGCATATTTGACTTTTTCTTCTCTAAATATTATACATGCATTCACTCATCCAACAAATATTTATTGTATGCTAAAAACATGTAAAGAAACGTGCAAGAGTCTCATATACGCCTTCCGGCTCTAACTGGATTTTGAATTTGTTTTAAAGCAGAGACATGGTACTTCTTTCTCTTTCTCTCTCAAGGGTCAGCCTTGAGTGTCAGTGAAGACACTCAACAATGCTACAGGACAGGCATGCATTGCATAAATGAAAAATGGGCTGCAAGCAGGCTAACTGTGCATGGCCTAAACCAAAATATTCATTTGTATGTCTTAGTCATCGTTAAACTTAGAATCCAAGCACAAGAGGAATGCAAATGCTATCTCCCCAAGTAACATGCTTGGCTGCTGGATTATGTTCAATGTTTCACTTAGATCAAATATATCATTTATATGCCTATATAAAAACAAGGAGATGAAATCAACAACATGTATAAACTCTTCAGGGAGTCAAAGTCTTATTTTTGGTGAAAATAACAGTTTAAAAGAGAATCCCTTTCAGTCACAAGTCCTCTTTCATGTAGCAGAAGGGAATGAGCAAAGAAATCCAAACACACTGGAGTTTTCAGGGCTAAACATTTTGACTCAATATGTTCCACTATAAAGTATTTGGCATTGTTAGAGCTTTATTGCTATATGTTGTCAGCCTGTATTTAATGGCGAGAAATACACATAAGAAGAGTAATGTGCAAAATGTTCAAGTGCATGGTGGTGACTTTGAGAAAATATATATTAAAGGAACATTTTGTAACTTTCAGCCCCTTTTCTGAGGCCTCTCTCAGCCAGATCTGATTAAATATTTATTGAACTAAGGCCTCAGCTTACTTGGTGTACACACCCTGAAGGCCCTCTCAGAGCCACCTAGGATAAGTACCTTATTTTACCATGCTCTCAGATGAAGTTTCTTTTATGCTTTGCCTTTTGCATGTGAAGCTGCAATTAGAAAGTTTGATAATGGAGACATTCAATTCCCCAATTCCTTATTTGCTTGAATTAACTTTTTAAAAATTGGGGTGTTCACTCTGGCATGGGTTCAGTCCAGACTCTGTAATCAGCCGACAATCTGTGCCTCGCAAAAGCTGGCATCCTTAACACTGGCTTCTTCCTTTCCTACCCTTTTCCGTGGGGTAATGTATTTTAATTGGTACCTCTCTGGGAGCCCCTCACATCTCCATCTGGCCAAATAAACAATACTTTTTTGATTCAGCCTCAGCATCTTGGCAGTTGACAGGAGGATAGACTTGCTACATTGGATTGCCTTTAAGATGCTCAAAATCCCCAAAACGCAGGATGAGGTACAGGAAACACAGTTAATGGCCCTTCAGAGGATGGCTCTTCTACAAAGGAACCTTGTATCCTGTTCATAGGACTTTCACTCTGCTATGTAGGTCTGAACTACAATTCCTGAGTGGTGTAAGAACTCAGAGCTATCTCCTCTGAATGGGAAAATTACTCATGAAACAGTCCATTTCCAAAAGTATCCCAACCTTTTAGGCTGTCTTACTATCAATCTCTTTCCAGTGTTGAGATTGGGGCCAAGTGTAAGCAGGACACGGAATGGTGGGATGGTAGAGCCTGAGCAGGACACGGAATGGTGGGATGGTAGAGCCTGAGCAGGACATGGAATGGTGGGATGGTAGAGCCTGAGCTCTAGAGTCAGACTGGCTTCAAATCCCGTGTGGCCTTTTGGCTTTTACCGACCTCCCTGTGCCTCAGTTTCTCTATCAGTAAAGCAGAGGTAATATCCGTATTTACTTCAGTATTATGTTCGTTATTGATTAAATGATGGCAGGTATCTGACATATTTAGCACAGCATTTTGCTTATATTCACTAATAATTGTTATTTTTAGACAAAATTTGTAGACTAAATTCCTTGGGCAGCAGAAAAGGAATGGTGAGTAACGGTCAGCATCAGGTTAGTATTAATTCACTGTGCACACTGTGCAGCACTGTCAGGGCTGACGATAAGATAATGTAGTCAGGGTGCTCAGTCTCTCATTTAATGTGGTTTAATTTATTTAAGGCTCTGGAATACAGGTGGACAGAAGGCTTGTTCTTCTCCAACCTTCAGTGTAATTTGGTTGAAATGAAGATATTTTCAGAGTAAAATGTCTTTTCCTTTGTCTTTTCTTTATTTACTCTTAGAGACTGAATCCAGAACTCCATGCTTTCTAGGCAAACACTTCACCACCAAGTCATATTCCCAGCCCAACACTGCTTTTTTTTTTTAAAAAAATCTTTTTGAGATAGGGTCTTCCTGTAGCCCCAGCCAGCTTAGAATTCACTATGTAGACCAGGCTGACCTTCAACTCACAGGTATCCTCCTGCTTTAGCCTCCTGAGTGCTAGGATTAAAGGCATAAGCCACCATGTCTGGCTTTTTTTTTTTTTTTAAAGAAACAGGATTTTCATTAATTCTTTTAGAATTTCATACAATGCATTTTGATCATATTCACCATCTCCTTTCAGATCCATCCCATTTTCCTAACTACCTAAATTTCTGATCTCTTTTGTTTCTTTTAAAGCCCATTGAGTCTGATTTTTTTGCTCAGATATATCTGGGTATGGATCCATCCCCTGGAGGATGGTCAGCCTACTGGGGATCACACTCTTAATGAAAACTGACTCTCCCTTTGGCTATCTGTTGCCACTGGCTTCTCAGCTAAAGCTGGGACTTCATGCCTACCTCCCCCTCCATGCTGGGATTTTGTCTGGTTTGAGTTTGTACAGACCTTGTGCATGCTGTCACAACTGCTGTGAATTCATATGTGCAACTGCCCTGTTGTGTTCAGAAAGCGCTGCTTTGCTGTAGTCATCCACTGCCTCTGGCTCTGACAGTCTTTCCTCTCTGCCTTCTCTGATGATTCCTGAACCTTGGGGGGAGAGATGTGATATAAATGCCCTATTTAGGGGGCCTTGGGAGATGGCTCAGCAGTTAAAAACACTTGCTGTTCTTCCAGAGGACTTGGGTTCAATTCTGACTACCCACATGGCAGCTAACGACTGTCCATAACTTCAGTTCCAGGGGATCCAGGACCCTCTTCTGGTCTTTATGGGCATTGCGTGACACAGGTACACTTACATACATGCAGGCAAAACACTCATACACACAAATTAAAAAAAAATTAACTGTCCCATTTAGGGCTGAGCACTCTGTAGTCTCTTATTCTCTGGCTAGATAGGCTGTAGACCCTGGGGGAGAATCTACTACTATTATTCTGCTAAATGGACATAGCATTAAACTGACCTTTAATGATTTATCATTATACCCATAGATTAGTACATCTCTCAACTCTCATTAGAAGCTTCTTGCAGTAGATACCATTTAACAGAGGCCCAATATTGCTTTCTTTGATAGCTCCATATAGGTTAGGGAATTTTTTCTAATTCTGTGTTTTTCTCCCTTTCCACCTCTTACCTCCTTCTTAAAATCACTTTGGTGAGATGCCTGAAGCAGAAATCAGGTACTACTCTGTGAACTATTATAACTTAGGGTGTTTACCAAGAGGAAGGCCAGCTGGAGCAGCTGGGCTCATAGGTGACTGTACGTCTGCCTTGTATAACTGATTTGTAGCAGCAAGTAAGGGCCTCTTACCAGTTGCCTTTTCGGGGTTGTTGCACATGAAGCATTGCCACGCCCCTGCCGTTTCACTGAAGCCAAACACGTCGAAGAACCTCACTTCTTCCAGATGGAGCTGAACCTGGTCCAGATCCTGTTTCAGGAACACAAAGCACAAAGAAAATCAGCACATCTGCCTGCTACCTAGCTTCTGACGCTAGAAAAGGGGGATGTGGAATCAGAAAGGCCAGTGTTCAGTCTCATGTTGAGACTGAGGGAGAACTGAAAGGACCTTTCCTTAGCCAGCCTTGGAAAAGAGCAGTCAGCTCAAACTCTTCCCTGGAGTCACTACAGAGAGAGGGGACACAGCCTCAGAGATGGGGGCTGGGGTGCAGAGAGAGACATCAGTATTTGAACTAGCCAAGATTTTTCTTGATTTGGTGCAGTTCCAGACTTTCTAAAAAGGAGGGACATGGAGTGACAGTGTGGTTGAAGGAAATGATGCTGGAGGACCTGCTTTTTATTTATATTTCATATAAAATTGAGGATCAATTATTTATACCAAAATACCATTTGCATAATGTTGACTTTGTAGGGAGTGATAGAAAATACAAGGATGGGCTTAACTCATCCACCCTGTATCCAGTACTGATGCTCTATTTAAATCTGTACGTAAATTTTGCGTTCTGTTCCATAATATAACTCTACTGGTTTTAGTGGAAAATCATCTCTTAGCTGTTTATCAATAAATTAGTTAACTTTTTTCTTTGAGTAGTTGAGTGGAATTTGACATACCAAGAAGACTGCCCACTTTTAGGTGCCCTGTGGCTCCCTGCCAGAGAGAGGTTCCATTAGACTCTAAATGGATGGAAAGCTATTAGCCTAACGAAATTAAATTTCTCTGATGTCTTCCTGAGCCTTTCTGGTTATGTAAATTACTTGTATTCCATGTTATAAGGCAGGAGGACTGCACTCTTAAAAGCTTGCTCATCCTAAGAAGGGCTTTGTGTCCTTGCTAGTTCGCACTTTGTGTCCTTGACCTCTGATGTACTGACTTTATTTCCTTGCCTTTGGTTTCATACTTTCATCCTCTTTACCTATAGCGATAACTCTTAGTAATTCCAAAGGCCAAGTGATGTTTGTGGTGTTTGCATAGCTTCTAATGGACCTGAGTAGAGAATGGGCAGGGTTACCAAGACCTGACCCCAGAGCTCCTGTGTCTACATTTGTTGACACAGGTGAAAAGTGTCCTAGCCTCTATGCTCCTTGAGAACAGAACCTCATTTACTTTGTTCACAGCTGTATCTAGTCTAGCATTGGGACTGGAGTAACATCTAGAGCAAAGTCCATTTTCCAATGAAGAAAGGTGTATTGAAAATTTAAGGAGACTTCTCTATAGAGAACACGCATACTCACCAGAAGATAAACACAAGGAGGACAGAGATTTTATCTGTTGCCAACCTCAGCCCCTAAGAGTACCTATTATATATAAGCAAGCATTAAATACACACTTCTAATGAAAGTCATCAATCAGGACTAGAAAGGAAGGCTTTTCAGCATTCTTTATTAAGGCTATCATGGTTTATGTTTTGGAACTGGATATTTTGGAGGCTCAACATGCTGAATACAGCGTTTTGGATCCCTAACATTTAATAGCTTATTATAGGCATTTCTATATATATATGTATATGTGTATGTGTGTGTATATATATGAATGCTGTTTTAATAAAAGTGATTTAGAATGTGTTCATTGGAAAAAAGGAGACTTTTAAAAATAAAGAGTGCTCCCTAGGATGAAGACTGAGGAAGCTCCTGGGAGTTTTGTAGGTTTCAAAGGATGAAATCCATATTAAAATTTATGGGGAAAAAGCAGATGTTCATAAATATCTGTTTCAAAACTGCTAGGTCTCTGAAGTCTGTCCTTGGCCATCGGCATGCAGATCACTCTTTGTTTCCCATACAATTAAGGATCAATTTTTCATTCCCCACAAACACTACTAGCAAACAAAGTACTTGAACAATACTTAGGGCTTCTTTTATTTTTCCTGTTTTGAGACAAAAAATGTCCCAGGTTATTGCCTATAATCCACACTTGTCTCAGCAAAAAAGTTACTTGAAAAGTTTAAGACAGATGGTGAGCTGCATCCCAGCACTCAAGTTCTGAAGCCAAAAGCAGGCTTAGCTCTTCAGAGGATTTAGGTGTTATGCAATGGGAACCTAGTGAAGAAGATAGATGGTAGATACAGAAACTATTGAAGTTGGCCATCACAGCCAGCTTAAAGTAGACAGATGAAGCATACACAATTTCAAGTATATTTCAAGTATATATAGAAAATCAAAGTAAATAAGTCAGAGAACAAACAAGTGGATTTTGACTGCTTAAATGTACTTAGGTTGTTACTTGTCTTTCCCACTTGTCTTCATCCTTTTGAGTCCTGAGTTTTGCCCAAGAACTGCTCTATGACCACCTCTTCCTCTCCTTCCTTCTCTGCCTCCTTCTCTCCTCTGTCCTCCTCTCCTCTCATCCTCTTCAAGACAAGACAAGTAAAACTGATTTAGGAAATTACAAACTCCCTTTTAGATAATTAGACTCCAGATGAATGAGAAAATAATACATGTTTAATTCTTACTCTCTCTCTGGATCTTTAGTTACAGAGCCTGGGCTTTCAGGTAACCTAATAATTTTCATCTCCTGGTGTTCATCTGATTGTTTAATCTCATACCCTTGTATTGGAAGGCAAAGGTGACAGAATATCACACTCATAATTATCACTCACTCACACACACACACTTTACATATATAAGATCCATTTTGTTAACACATAGGTTCAAAAGGAGGCTCTCCTGCTGGCTTTGAAGAAATAAAAACCTTCAGGAAACTCTGAGTGGTTTCCAATAGCCAATAAGAGATCAAGAACTTTGGTCCTGTAACACAAATAAATGATTTCTGCCAACAACCTGGCCTTTTGGCCAACTCTCAAAGGGTGATTCAAATTAGAAGAGTCAGTCTGACAAGTATACTTCAAATCAGGTCTCAGTAAAACCTGAACAATATCAAAGTTCAGATTATTTATGTTGACTTCGGAAAAAGTTATATAATAATACTAAGTAAACATGTTCGGAGAAGGATTTTCCTTGCAAACATTACTTAATTTAAAAAGCTTAAAAGTCATTGGAAAGAAAATGGTCTTTTAAAGCAATTGCTTAGGTAAATTTGTCTCCAACTTTAGAAAAAAAATGATGAGAGTATTTGGAAAGTCATATAAGAAGTTTCCTGCAAGGCTACTTAGAGGGAAAAACCAGACGGCAGGGGAAGATGAGAGAATATTTACATTATTTCGATGTATTCTGTAGCAGTGTACAGCAGGGGTGGGGTAGAAAGGGCCTGTGGTGATAGGAGGCTGTAAAGCCAAATTCTCTTCTGGGAGGCCCGTGCTGCGCACACTCTCAGTTCCCAGGCCCTCTGTGAGGCATGTTGTTGTTGGGGACCCCTGCTGTTTGGGTTGCAGTCTCTCCATGTCCGGATAGCCTAAGGGGCTCGGCGTTTGATACAGAGACCCCTCTTTCCAGCAGGGTGCCTCCTGTTCTCCTCCTGACTCACTTTGAAGTGGCCGCCACAGATGCCCTACCAGAAACCGAGAAACTGCCAGGTTTTTCCTATGTGATAACCAGGCATTGTCTGACAGCCTGATAGAAGAAGCCCACCGCCACATGTAAATGGGGCATCCTAGGAGCACCTATCAGCTGAGGCTTTTTGCTACTGCCTCCACACTATAAATTCTCTAGTTTCCCCCTAATAAATCGAAGCTGTATCACTGAACTTGTCTGGAGCTGTATCCTGTGTTTCACTGCACCTGGGACCAGCCTGTGATTCAGTCTTCCTGGAGGGAGCTGTCCCCCCATCAACACCCACTCACGAAGCTTCTGCGTTCGACATTCCTGCGCTCCCAGCTTTGCTCCCCTGCCCCCCCCCCCGCGGACCCGGGGCACAACGCCCCGGGGAATTCTGTGTTTGCCATTCCTGCCCCTCCCATGCCCTCGTGGTTCGGTGGCCAACGGACCAAGTGCACAGAGGGAGTGTCCCTCAGCTGGCGCAGAGCCCCCTGCAGCTTGGCGCAGAACCCTCCCGGCAGCTTGCAGCCCCCCACGGAGCCTGCACTCGCCCGCCGACCTGCAGAGCCGCCAGTACTAGCAGCCGCAGAGAGCCAGAGACCCACCCAGCAGCGCAAAACCAGCCTGCCAAGCGCAACAGCAGCTGCTGAGCCTGACAACCTGAGTTCCATCCTTGGAATCCACATGGTGAAAGGACATGAAGACCAACTCTCTTAAGTTGTCCTCTGACTTCCACATGTGACATGTCATGTGTGGCACACTCCCCCTCCAATCACATACATAAAAGTCATAAATTTTTTTAAGTGTGCCATGGCTCTGGGTCTTACGTCATGATCTGTATACTGAGAGACTACGAAAAAGTTTTCCAGAAATCAGCAAAAGCATACATCTGGAGGACCTCTGGATTCTGGCACATTTCAGTTCTGTCCTAAAGCTGTCTGTGCGCAGAGAGAAAACACAGGCTTGCTTCATGTGCTCTGTTGCTGCTGGTGAATAGGAGTTCTAGTCTCAAAGTTCAAGTATGTTTTAAAAAATGTGAACAAAAAGTTTTTAAAAGTCTTCAGCATCTTCACATATTAATAAAGACTTCAGTTTTCATAGCTATTTCCAGTGCACATACCTAATTATATGCAGTCCTGGGTTTGAGATGAATTTACTGAGGAAAAGTAATTAGCAATTTATCT